CACCTTACGCCTTTTAATATTGCTCGTTTCATTAATATCAATCATTAGCCGAAATCACCACATTTGACATCACCGTCATCGGAGATGAATGAAGTAAATTTAAGCACGAGTAACCTTATCAGCTCGGACGAGGAAAATGAAAACATCGACGGAAAGGAGGTAGGTGGATGTGTAAGAATAATTTCAACCGATGGTGACGAAATTTTTAAATCTGTTTGCAAACTTCTTCCAGAAGTGGACACGTTGAGTGACAATTTTCTCAAATGAGCTCAAGTTGACAGTACATTTGATTCAGTGGAAACAGGATATTGTTATTTGTGTATGTGTGTGGCCAGTCAATTAATATTACGTTACCATGTTTTGTAGCCGACGAAAACACAGGAAGGTAAGGCATCATGGATTTACCGGACATTTAGAAAAAGAACCTGCCGTTGGTTTATTCCATCCATTCAAAATGATCATAGGTAAGCAGAGGTTAAATGCAACAAAAATAAAAATAGACTGACTGAGCGATTCTCAAATCAGTTTCGAATTTTTGAGCTAATTAATGTCGCAAACAAGACTTATAGCAACGAAAGGCGGCACGTTAAGAGACACCAAGAACGGCGAGGTGAGGGTTAATTAACCCATTAACCCTCAAGAGAGTCTCAAGAGTAATAATAATTATTTTCACATTTTGATTGTGACTTGACGTTTCGTATGTAACGTCAAGTCATAGTCAAAATGTGTAAGTTCAATAATTACTTTTATTACACGACTCGGGCAGTCAGAGGGCCAATAACTAAAATCAACCAATCAAAATGCTCTATTGCCGGTCAATATTCTCTCATTATCTTGACGATATATATCATCTCTGAATCAAACATTAGGTCATGAAAATAAAGAAACTGATCGAAAACTCTAGAAGCTCTCAATATTTAGCCAAATCCTCTCTGTAAGTAAAGAGAACAGTATGGACAACTTATACATTGATGTTAGGGTTTACGGGGTCAACTGAAGAACTCGATACTGCCTGTGCGGGCTTGTTACTCTGTCTTACAGAGCAGAAAACGAAACTATCAAAACAGCTCCTACATCCATGTGATCACTTTTTGTTACAATCACATGGACCCTCGTGTGTGCACTCTACCATACATTTGGGACCGGCAGTGTCTTCGCTTGAATTTTAGTTTTTTGGAATACTGTGAACGTTGATACTTTTGAAAACGAAAGCAGTGCTGCAGGAAGAAATTATCCGATCCCAAATTAATCCAGATAGGGCCGGTCTGTTTACTCTCGTCCATTATCTGCTCATCATGGAATAGTAGTCTGTACCAGTGAGGGTCATGGTCAATAAACTTAACCTGGTTCCAAACTGGAACGTGCCCTTTTTCGTTGACGTGCTCTGTAACCGCTGAGTTCTGAATGCAAGCAATGTACTTGAATTCTCTCATTCATCGCTCTCCCTTCACTGAACAGCCCCGTCCCGTTTTGCTAACTCGATGCGATCTTTAGGTCGCACCGAAGGTGACCCAAGCGAGCACCTTGTTGTTTTGGGCTGTAACGAAGAACCTCCGATACCCCTATAACATAGGATAAAACCAAAGTAGATTTGAAACCGTCCCACTCTTCTTCTAATTTGAATTCTACCCTCAAGTTTAATGGTTCGCCTCCTGTCTTGGTACCTGTAGCATGATGCGGCAAAGAGTTTAATGGGATAGAAAGAGCCTGTACTGTGTAGTGCATCTGTTGAGGAAGAACACAGGAATGAACCGCAAAGCTCCAAGCCTGAACCTGAGCGGGCTAGTCATAACGCCAGAATGTTTCCTTTTTATTTAACTCGCTACTTCCGTTTTGATTCAGATGCTGTTGTGGGCGCTTGAAGCAGCACCATAACGGTGAAGCATTGTTGTCAACTGGAAAAGCAGGAGACATGTGGCAAGTGTCTAAACATTCTTTCACCAAACCAACCAATGCATATGGAGAACTGGAATTTCAAGGGGCTGGGCAAGTCAGCCGAGCCAAGGTCAGAAAACAGATGATCTTTCAAACGTCGTCTTTTCTTTCACACTTACGTAAAGTAAATTATATTTCGACCTGTGAACTATTTTCAAGTGAATTAATGATTTTCGCGGGAGCCCTGATTAAAGAAATTGCAGGATTTAAAACTTGTCGAAGCCCGAAAAACTCAGGCTTCTTTTCTGCAATTTCTTGAATTGTTGCCCGCGGGTGAGGATCATTTCTTTACTAGTACTTCCTTTTTTTCTAAAGAGTAGATAAAGATGTTAACCATTTGCTTCGACCCTAGTGATGCCGTTGACCAGTAAAAGCTTGAATTTTCTAAAAGCTTTTCATTTTAGCAGTGGTTGAAAGCCTCATTCTGACTCCAATTTTTCCACTTCGAAATGCTTGTGAACAACAATATGCACAAATAACTGAGACAAAGACAAATTATGATTTCCTTGGGAAGATTAGAACTCTAAGCCAGTTACGACGTTGCAGTTGGATACGCTATCAACTGAGCTGCAAACATGTGTAAGCGTGTGGCGTGGAGCGGGCAGAAGCAGCGCGCGCAGCGTGCAGCGGGAGCGGGAGCCAACTGAGCTGCAAAGGTGTGTAAGCGTGTGGCGTGGAGCGGGCAGTGGGTGGTTGGCATCGGGCAACGGGCAGCAGCGCGCGCAGCGTGCAGCGGGAGCGGGAGCCAACTGAGCTGCAAAGGTGTGTAAGCGTGTGGCGTGGAGCGGGCAGTGGGTGGTTGGCATCGGGCAACGGGCAGCAGCGCGCGCAGCGTGCAGCGGGAGGCAAGAAGGAGTCAAGTGACGTGTTTTTCTCCTTCCACACTTTTGAGGGATTTCACGGTACTTCTGGCGAGCATGTTATCCTCCTTATTTTCTTAAAGAAAGCGGAAAAAACGCTGGAAAAGATAAGCTCTAAGGTTCTCAATTACGAGCTAGGCGCATATATTAGGTACATATCTATCAAGTGTCCGGCGTTCAGTTGAATTAGCAAGGCTAAAAACATAATGCATAAGCAAGTTGGTAAATTTATAAATCTCTTTTTTTCTTATTTTTTGACCAGTATATCCGTGTATCTCAGGACACGGACCCTGAAATGGCTCTGCGCCTGCTCTGTAAGGAATGGAAGCTGGACCTTCCCAAATTACTTATATCAGTGACTGGGGGCGCAAAGAATTTTGTGCTTCATCCGAGACTGAAACAAGTGCTGAGGCAGGGCCTTCTTAAGGTACATTGAGAATTCATTCGTTTAGACAAGAGAGATGTTTTGTTACAGTCTCTATATGCAGCAAACGAAAAAGATCCCTAAAACTCTCAAGGTCTACAAAGTGTTCTGTAATCTGAGTTCGTGACTTAGAAAGTGTGAGGTCGACTCCCAAACGTTGTCAGATCAAACAGCGATTCAATTCGTCTGAGTTTTCTTTGTTGCTTTTGTTAAACATTCAAGCCTTTGAAACCGATGACAGGAAAAAACTATGAATTGAATCGCGGAATATTATAGTGGTGACGAGACCGAGAATGCTGGGAAAACAAAACAATATTTAGGTGTTTTCCATTGTTTTACTATCACTTCAATTAGTAGTTTTTGCCTTGTGTTCGCAGGCTGCACAAACCACAGGAGCCTGGATCATAACTGGTGGCACCAACACAGGTGTAATGCGTCACGTGGGGGAGGCTGTACGAGGTCACACAGTTATGTCACGTGGTGCTCAACTGAAGGACAATACCCAGCAAGTTCATTTGATTGGCATAGCGACCTGGGGAATTGTGGATCACAGAAAAACTCTCGTCGGTAATCAGGTGTGGATTCTTAGCTAACAATTCACTGAAACGATATCCAAGAATATTTCCAGCCATTTTCGTGGAAGCTTTTTAACGACTTTTCTGTATCCCCAGTGTATCGCTAAGCAAACTCAAATTGCCAGAAAAGTGTTTCTAAAAAACTGTTAGATTGCCGAAGAATAATAATGATAATGATAATAATAATAATAATAGTAATAATAATAATAATAATAATAATAATAACTGTGATAATGATAATAATGATTTGGCCGGAGAGTACGTAAAAATAACTTTCTTGAGCTCGAGCAAAAAAGTATGTTAAATTTATTTTTAGGAAAGTAGATCCAGACGAGCCTTGAATCGATCTGGTTGGGACCAGCAATATCGAAAGTGAATATTAGAGCAATCTTTGCAATAACGAATACTACTTAAGCAGTGATAAAAGTTTTCTCAGAGAGAGAGGTCTCAGATTTCCTCGTTGTCCTCTACTTGTGAAAGAGGAACCTCAAAATTTC